AAAGAAATTGCTGAACGAATAGGCTGTTCCCAGAGTGCTGTATCAAGACACCTCAGTGGGAAGTCTGTGGGAAGGGAAAAGTGTGACAGAAAACGCTGCACAACGAGAAGAGATGACCGGACCCTGAGAAGGATTGTGGAGAAGGGCCGATTCCAGACCTTGGGGGACCTGCGGAAGCAGTGGACTGAGTCTGGAGTAGAAACATCCAGAGCCACCGTGCACAGGCGTGTGCAGGAAATGGGCTACAGGTGCCGCATTCCCCAGGTCAAGTCACTCTTGAACAAGAGACTGCGTCAGAAGCATCTCGCCTGGGACTGCTGCTGAGTGGTCCAAAGTTATGTTCTCTGATTACAGTAAATTTTGCATTTCCTTTGGAAATCAAGGTCTCAGAGTCTGGAGGAAGAGAGGAGACACATAATTCACATTGCTTGAGGTCCAGTGTCAAGTTTCCACAGTCACTGAGGTGTCATGTCATCTGCTGGTGTTGGTCCACTGTGTTTTATCAAGGGCAGGGTCAATGCAGCTAGCTATCAGGAGATTTTGGAGCACTTCATGCTTCCATCTGCTGAAAAGCTTTATGGAGATTAAGATTTCATTTTTCAGCACGACCTGGCACCTGCTCACAGTGCCAAAACCACTGGTAAATGGTTTACTGACCATGGTATTACTGTGCTCAATTGACCTGCCAGCTCTCCTGACCTGAACCCCATAGAGAACCTGTGGGATATTGTGAAGAGGAAGTTGAGAGACGCAAGACCCAACACTCTGGATGAGCTTAAGGCCGCTATCGAAGCATCCTGGGCCTCCATAACACCTCAGCAGTGCCACAGGCTGATTGCCTCCATGCCACGCCGCGTTGAAGCAGACATTCATGCAAAAGGATTTCCGACCAAGTATTGAGTGCATAACTGAACATGATTATTTGAAGGTTGGCGTTTTTTGTATTAAAAACACTTGTCTTTCATTGGTGGGATGAAATATGCTAATTTTTTGGGACAGGCATTTTGGGTTTTCATGAGCTGTATGCCATAATCATCAGTATTAAAACAATTAAAGACCTGAAATATTTCAGTTGGTGTGCAATGAATCTGAAATATATGAAAGTTTAATTTGTATCATTACATTATGGAAAATAATTACCTTTATCACAATATGCTAATTTTTTGAGAAGGACCTGTACTTAGGATTATGCTGGTATCATTCAAAACAGGCATCTAGAAAGATGGAAAGAAAATGACGATCCACTAACATGGAAGAACTTTATTTAACTTGGAGAGATAGTCTGATAACATATAAGAAAGCTCTCTGTAAAGCTAGAACTTTATATTATTCATCTTTAATAGATGAATAATATGAATAATTCATCTTTAATAGATGAGAATAAAAATAACCCTAGGTTTCTGTTCAGTACTATTGCTAGACTAATGAAAAATCCTATCTCTGTTGAACCATATATCCCTACAACTATAAGCAGTGATGATTTCATGAGATTCTTCCATCCATCCATCCATCCATCCATCCATTATCTTTTACCCGCTTCTTCCATTTTGGGTCATGGGGGTCGCCTGTTCCCATGTCCAGCAATCAATGTGCAAGGGGCGGGGTATACCCTGGACAGGTCGCAAGTCCATCGCAGGGACACATAGAGACAAACGAGACAAACAACCATTCACTCTCTCACTCACACCTATGGAAAATTTAGAGTTACCAATCATCCTAACATGCATGTTTTTGGTCTGTGGGAGGAAACCGGAGTACCTGGAGAAACCCACTCATGCACGGAGAGAACATGCAAAGTCCACCCAGAAAGGCCCCTGGACCCAGATTTGAACCAGGGACCTGCTTGCTGAGAGGCAGCAGCTCTACCAGTTGCACCACCATGCTGCCCTTCATGAGATTCTTTATAAATAAATTATTTCAATTAGAGAGAAAATTCACACCATCCTTCCTTCTACTACCCCTGATTCCCTGTCAGATGAGGCACCTTTAGAAATATTACTAGAACCTGCTTTATGTTTGGACTGTTTTTGTTCTGTTGCCTTTGTGCTTGCTCAGGATGGGAGACTGTGACGAAATGACAATTCAACGAGTCTGCTGGCTTGCTTCCTTCCTTCCTTAGAAAGAGAAATTTACTAATTGGCTTTTGTATGTATGTGGACCCTGAGACAACTTCGCTTGTGATTTGGCGCTATATAAATAAACTGAAAAACTGAATAGCTAAAATTAACAAAACGCATGCTACAAGCAGCAATATAAATGCTACAGCTAAAGTCAGCCAAACGATAGCTAAAACAATAAAACAGATGCTAAAAATGAATAAAACAACAGCTGGAAGTAGCAAAAAATATGTTAAAACTAAAACTGACAAAGCAAATGCTACAATAACAAAACAGATGATAAAGCTAAACTTGGCAAAACCGTGGCTAAAATCTAAACTTTATTAAATGCTAAAAGCTAAATGGCGGATAATGGTAAAAAGTGGGAGAAGACCAACATAGAGTATGTATTCTAAAAGAGATTTTAAACAAAATGATGTTTTTGGAGGAATTAACGAGATCTTGATGTATTTCTTCGCAGAAGTTTATGATACTTAAAATGTAATATATTGAAACTTAACCCTCTGGTTGGAAGTTCTGTACTGCCAGAACGAAAACCAGCAGACACAAAAACATTTTTGAACTAAATGAAATTGTATATTGTTGAAAATGGAGAAACAATTAGCTCCTATGTTGGTTTTACGAGCTCAGGTTTGGGTTTAACCTTATAACTGGGTATGCAGTCCAGGCCCGGATAATCCTCGATGTCTCCAGTTTTCACGTTGAAGCAGGCTCCGTGAAAAGGACATCTCACTCGGTCTCCAACCAGTGCTCCTGAAACATCATTACTTCAGATCTAACACACCTGTCTTTTATGCACAAAAAAAGAAACCCAAAAGTAAAAGAAGAGTTTACCTTTAATTAGAGGCGCACTGTAATGAGAGCACCTGCTCCCAACAGCGCTGTACAGACCCTGAGTACGGACCAGCAGCACCTTCTGACCCTCCACAGTCACCTCCTTCATTCTTTATGAATACAAAAAGTGGCAAATGAGACAAATAGGGAAGGTGTATCACATCTGAAACATGAGCCTTTTTAAGTATTAATGTAAGCTGAGACTCACTGTCCATCTTGGAGCTCAGATTCCTGACAAACCAGTCCAGTCACCTCCTCCTGCTCTTCCCTTTGACCTGCTTGTTGGTGCATGTCCATTTATTTCTTCAAGAGGAACAGTAAATGCATGTATTGTTACACCGAAACGTACACATCGGTTACTACATATGGGTGGTACTGTACTTCCACCCATTCACTGAATTTAGACATTAACATCTGCGCCTTCTTTGAGGTCTCCGCATGACTAAGCTGAATTCTGCCATCGTTTAGTCAGGTCTCAAGTATCAAACTCAAGGTTCCTGGGCCAGAAATGGCCCATGTTACAACTTTTCTGGCTCACAATAAAATAGTTTTTGATATAATAAGAACTGGTCCACCAGATCCTGGCATATCAGTGTGAATAAATACTTTGTTCTTATTTTTATATTTTATTTAGTGTTGTTTAATGACTGAGAGCTCTGCACAAGAATTCCAATGTGCCTGGATTATTAGTCTGTGCACAAATGGCAAATAACGAACTTTGATCTTTTGATTAAGTCTCATAAAATTGCGTTTTTAAATATGTATTTAATAAGTTATTTTTAAGTTCTATGTAATGTCGTAAAACAAGGCTATTTTTTTAAATCTAAATGAGTAATTTGACATATTGCTTCTGAAAACAAGGCCACTTTATTGAAATTATTCAACAATATGGATGGAGACTGGCCCATGACTTGGACCATGATTTTAATTTTGGCGTTATGTAAAACAGTTTGACACGCCCAAGTTAGATTATAATATATGATGACCTGTTCGTAAAAAAACAAACAAAAAAAAAAACCAGAATAACAGACATTTCTGAATGAATCTTACTTAATACCAAGTTTTTGCAAAAAGCTTGACACCAACTTGTAAAATTCTAACTTCTAAAGTCAACAACACACCTAAAAAAGCCAAAGAGGTTGATTGAAAATTATCAGGGATTTCAAGCTCTTAACTTAAATCAAAATGAAAACTTATATCCCACACCTCAATTTAACATTTACAGTGGCCTGTATCATGTTTAAATCTGTAGAACATGTAGTTCCGTACTCACCTGAGTAGTTTTAATGATCGAACAAAGACCTCTGATGTATTATAATAATGGTTGTGGGTCGGAACGGCTGTATTTACTCCTATCAACAGGCTTTCAGCAGAACAAACCCTTAAACTCAGACGACACCGCCCGGCTGGGGATCGCCGCCGGCTCCTCCCATAGCAACCGTAATCAAAGCACTTCCTTGGTTACAGTGCTGCGTGTGTAAGGCGCATGCGCAGAAGTTCCGGAGACGCTTGGAGATTGCAGATGTTTTCTCTATATATGTCTGTGGTTTTCTCAGCTTCTGTTTACAGTGGCCGACATACCGTGGTGCAAATGAGCTACAAGCAGCTAAACGTGCAGCAAACACATGAATGATGCAAACTCCAACACACACAGAAACACGTTCCAAAAGAAAAATAAATCTGCAATCAAAGAAAATAAAGTAATATAAAATGCATACAAAAAAAAAAAAAAAGAACACTAAAGAAACAAAACTTCAAGAAACGGTGCAAACTCAAAACTGAAGTGCACCTGAGGGGAACTCCACCACCAGATGGGACCAGACCCCTTAAAGACATTATAGCTGAGCGGCGCACTTTCTAAAGTCACAACTCCTTTCATTTAAAATCTCTCAACTAAAAAGAGATTTTGATAATGTAAAGAAACAAAAAGTAGCTACTGTTTTTAAAGGTAAAGTAAGAAAATTAAACATTGGTTAGACAGCTAATGGCTTTAAAACATGCAATTTGCTATTTCAGGAAAACCAGAGACAATATATTAAGTAAGTAAACTTTAGCACCTTTCATAAATAAAATCATAATGTGCTTTACAGATACAAACTTAAAATGAAACAAAAACAGGAAAAGCAGCTGATAAAATATGATATTTATAGTGATAGTGATATATGGGGGCCCGTCCATTTAATGCTCTAAAAGTTAAGACTAAAATAAAAAATAATAATAATTCTAAATTCAACAGGTAGCCAATGAAGATAAAACTGGTTGACCTTCTCTTAGTTCCTGTTAAAAGCCTCGCTGCAGTGTTCTGGACCCACTGGAGACGAGCGACGGCAGATTTGTTAAAACAAGTAAAAAGGGAATTACAACAATCTAAACAAGAAGAGATTTAAAAAAAAAAAACCAGGAATAATAATCTCCAGGTTAAATTTGAATAACATTGCCTTCAATTTAGAAATGTTTCTCAAATGATTAAAAACAACTTTTTCCCAGAAGTTTTGAATGTTTGTGCAATGACCAGTTATTGGACTGGTCGAACAGATCACCAAGGTTTCTGAGGCTCAGCTGAGAAGAGGAGCCCAGAGAACTGAGGTGCTGCCTGATCCAAAGAACTTTCTGTTCAGGAGCAACGATCAGGGTTTCAGTCTTGCTAGAATTTAACTGAAGGCAGTTACAGCCATGCATTAATATGGGAAACAGCTTACTAATTCAGCTAACTTGTGTAATTCTGAATCATAGAATGAACAGTATGTTCTTGTAAATGAGTCCCTGAGGCTCAATGGGATTAACCTGTATAAATAAAGGTTGAATGTCATAAGCATAGAGATGGTAAGACACATTCTGATAATCTTTCTGTGACTAACAGGGGAGAGCGATTTAAATAGTTTTGAATAAAACCCAACAACAACAGTGGGGGATGTTATTACCCAACAATTTAAAAACACCACAGTTCAGAAGAATACACCGTGACACAGCCTGAGTTCTACAAAAATATAATTTATTAAAACAGATAATCCTATTAAAAACACATGGTTTTAGGCCTACTACTCAATCTCTGAGGGGGGAAAAGGGGAGCATGAGGTAAAGGCAGATATTTCTGTTATTCCACATACAATAATAAATCAAACATAGTACAGATGGTGGCACAAACTGTTAATATCCAGTCCCGTCCCCCATTAGAGCAGGACAGAGGAGACATGCACTGTTCAATTGACCGGCTGCAAAAATAGCAGCGACAAATGCAGTGGAGGAGCAGCCCAAACTCTGAAAGTTGTCTCAAACCAGGACAATACAAGACAGCAGAGCGTCCATGTGCACTGGGACATTTAAGCACAGCGGTGCGCAGCTCAATTGTGTGCTGAGGAGCAGGAGCTCAGCCTACCAGGGGAATGAGCAGATCAGCAGCAGGTCAGAAGAAGGTAGACACCGCGCACTGCAAAGGGCTCCAGCTGCAGCCAATAACGCCAGTGGAGCAGCAACGGATCTCAGATGAGCAGAACCCAAGAGACCACCAGCCACACAAACAGCTGACGTGCAGCAGGAGGAACAAAGACACACCTGGTAGCAGCCACCTGCCCAAATATAAAGGCATCTGCCACGCACATCAATCAGTGGTGCGATCTGATCTGCACCTGGTGCACAGAGTGGGGAGGGTGGAACACCATTTCACCACATTCCCAAGGGGGCTGATGTATAAAAGACACAAAATAGGACCTAAGTCTGAGTCCTGAGGAACACCATACAATAATAGAGTGATCTATATGTATGCTATTTGCAAACATGGACAAAGTTCTGTTGCTCAGATAAGAAGAAAACCACTTAAGAACATCCATCATCTTTACCTGCTTCATTCTTTTCAAGTCACAGGGGTCACTCCATGTCCAGCCATCAATGTGAGAGAGGCGGCGGACATCCTGGACAGGTCTCCAGTCCATCAAAGGGACACAAAGACAAATGATACAAACAACCATTCACTCTCTCACTCACACCTAGGGACAATTTAGAGTTACCAATCAGTCTAACATGCATGTTTTTGGTCTGTGGGAGGAAACCGGAGCACCCGGAGAAAACCCATGCATGCACAGAGAGAACATGCAAACTCCACCCAGAAAGGCCCCTGGACCGGGGTTTGAACCAGGGACCTGCTTGCTGAGAGGCAGCAGCTCTACCAGTTGCGCCACCGTGCTGCCTACAATATGACTATATCATTGATATTAATGTTTTCCTAAGAATAAAGTGTCTCTAGCAATTTACAAAACAAGCTAGTTTTAAAAACTATTTTTGCCACTTTTCTAAATATTTTCAACCAACTTCACTGATCTGTATACCACTTAATGCCAATACAGATTCATTCTTATATTACTTATATCAGGCTACTACAAGTTTACACGTATCTAGAAGGTACCCCTTTAAGAAATTGTTGGAGGAGAGTAATCCAACAAAACTAGACTTATTGGAGCTAGTAGTAATAAATAAGAAAGCAGGATATGAACTTATTGTGTTTATCTGCTGAGAACATTTATGGCCGGCAGGTGTCGCCATATAATCAAACATCACAGCTTTCATTTTTTATAATCAAGTGGAGACTTGAACGATGCTCTGGTGATGGACTGGGTGAGGTCAGGTAGGAATCCCTGTGGACTATGATGTTTGCAGAGAAAAACGTGGCTCGTAATGAGAACAGCGAACAGGTGGATGAGACTTTAGAGAGGTGGAGAGGGATGAAAGTCAGGTGTAGTAAGAAGTGGAACAGTGAGGCTACAAGGAGCAGAGGTCACAAAGGTGCAGGACTTCAAGTACTTGGTGTCCACTGAAATGGGGAGTGTGGTAAAGAGGTGAAAAAGAGAGTTCAAGGAGTGGATGGAGAAAAGTTTCAGTAATGATTTGTGACAAAAGTGTGTCAGCAAATGTCAAAGGAAAAGTTTACAAGACAGTGGTGAGACCAGTTATGTTTTATGGTCTGGAGACAGTGGCACTGACAAAAAGACAGGAGAAAGAACTGGAAGTGGCAGAAATGAAGATGTTGAGGTTCTACTTAGGAGTGACAAGGATGGATCAGATTAGGAATGAGATCATCAGAGGGTTAGGGTTAGCAGCACAGGTGGAACAACTGATAAAGTTAGCTTTTGCTGCTTTTAGCTTCTAGTTAACATTTGTTAGCTTTTACCTATCCTTTCGCTACACGTGGCTATTTGCTACATTTAGCTTAAACTGTATTTAGCTTTATGTTTATGTTTTGCTCCTTTAAGCAAGTTTTTTGCTACAAGTAGCTTTTACGTTTAGTGTTTGGCTAATTTTATCTAGCCTTTTGCCACTTCGTATTCTGCTTCTTGTAGCTTTCACCAGCTTTCACAACTCAGTTTCAGCTTCCTCAGTAAATGTCAGAAGTCATTCAGAGCCTCAGTATTCTAGGTTTATGCAGAAGATGTCATTTCTCTAAATGTATTTACAAACCAGATTCAAAAAAAGTTGGGACACTAAACAAATTGTGAATAAAAACTGAATGCAATGATGTGGAGATGGCAAATGTCAACATTTTATTCGTAATATAACATAGATGACAGATCAAAAGTTTAATCTGAGTAAATGTAACATTTTAAAGGAAAAATATGTTGATTCAAAATTTCACAGTGTCAACAAATCCCAAAAAAGTTGGGACAAGTAGCAATAAGTGGCTGGAAAAAGGAAATTGAGCATATAACAGCTGGAAGACGAATTAACACTAATTAGGTCAATGGACAACATGATTGGGTATAAAAAGAGCTTCTCAGAGTGTCAGTGTCTCTCAGAAGCCAAGATGGTAAGAGGATCACCTATTCCACCATTGTTGGGCAGGAAGATAGTGCAGCAATACCAGAATGGTGTTACCCAGCGTAAAATAGCAAAGACTTTTAAGTTATCATCATCAACAGTGCATAACATCATCAAAAGATTCAGAGAATCTGGAACAATCGCTGTGTGTAAGGGTCAAGGCCGTAAAACTCTACTGGATGCTCGTGATCTCCGGGCCCTTAAACATCACTGCACCTCAAACAGGAATGCCGCTGTCAAGGAAATAACAGAATGGGCTCAGGAATACTTCCAGAAAGCAGTGTCAGTTAACACAATCCACCGTGCCATCCGCCGTTGCCAGCTGAAACTCTACAGTGCAAAGAGGAAGCCATTTCTAAGCAAGCTCCACAAGCGCAGATGTTTGCACTGGGGCCAGGGGTCATTTAAAATGGAGTGTGGCAAAATGGAAGACTGTTCTGTGGTCAGATGAGTCACGATTTGAAGTTCTTTATGGAACACTGGGACGCCATGTCATCCGGACCAGAGAGGACAAGGATAGCCCAAGTTGTTATCAACGCTCTGTTCAGAAGCCTGCATCACTGATGGTATGGGGTTGCATGAGCACTTGTGGCATGGGCAGCTTGCATGTCTGGAAAGACACCATTAATGCAGAGAACTATGTTCAGGTTCTAGAACAACATATGCTCCCATCTAGACGTCATCTCTTTCAGGGAAGACTCTGCATTTTTCAACATGATAATGCCAGACCACATTCTGCAGCAATCACAACATCATGGCTACGTAGGAGAAGGATCCGGGTACTGAAATGGCCAGCCTGCAGTCCAGATCTTTCACCTATAGAGAACATTTGGCGCATCATAAAGAGGAAGGTGCGACAAAGAAGGCCCAAGACAATTGAACAGTTAGAGGCCTGTATTAGACATGAATGGGAGAGCATTCCTATTTCTAAACTTGAGAAACTGGTCTCCTCTGTCCACAGACGTCTGTTGAGTGTTGTAAGAAGAAGGGGGGATGCCACACAGTGGTAAAAATGGACTTGTCCCAAATTTTGGGGGATTTGTTGACGCCATGAAATTTGGAAACAACAGATTTTTCCCTTAAAATGATACATTCTCTCAGTTTAAACTTTTGATCTGTGATTTCTGTTATATTCTGAATAAAATTTTAGATGTTGGCACCTCCACATCTTTGCATTCAGTTTTTATTCACAATTTGTTTAGTGTCCCAACTTTTTTGGAATCTGGTTTGTACTTTTATTTGTCTTTATGATATGGACCAGTATATCAGAAATGAAGGAAAACAACAATAACAGTGGTCTGCAACCTTTACAATCCAAAGAGCCATTTCTGCTCCTTTGTTCACTAAACTATATGTCCGGAGTCAAAAAACCTGCTCCAACTGTTATTATCAACTGGTGGCCATGTGGACCACGTTAAATTTGTTGGAGGAGGCTTTTCAACCTAGTAGGACATAAAACTAAACATATCTAATGATTTTTAACACTTATTGATATTTTTACATTTTAAGACAAAAGAAAAGAGGTGGATGAGTGTAAAGAAGGATTTTTTTTAAATAGTTTTTACCAATTAAAAAAAATATGAAACAATGAACGCTTCTAGTAATTACTTTTAATTGTGGAAAAATTAAGTATCCCACTTAAAAAAAATAAAGCATAACACATAAATAAAGCTTACAGTTAAATTGAGTATGTTTTACTCCTTGTATTATTACTATTATTCACAAATTTGCTAAATAAATTACATGAAAATGTTAAAACTAGCAGTGGTTTGTTTTGGTCAAAGTTTGAAAGGGCCACATGTGGCCCCAGAGCCATAGCCATAGCCCCTGAATAATAACAACAACAACAATAATAATAATAATAATAATAATAATAATAATGTTAATAATAATAATAATAACCCGAGGCCTATGAGTTTATAATTTAGTTTTAGTTAGTTACGATTTGTTTTGATAATCTGGATTTTTATTTTTTTTGTTTAGCTGGTGAAACATTTATTTATGTTTAACACATTTTATGTCAGTTTATAACTATTGTCAAATCAGTGCATATATGTTCTTTTTAGTATCCCACACCGCCTTACAATCTAGCTGTTTTTTATCCTGATGCATGCTCAATAATCCAGGTAGAAAAATCTAAAAAAAAGTTAAGCCTGGTCCTCTGGACATTCAAAAAACAAAACAAAACAAAACAACAAAAAAAATTTAAAAAATGTAGAAACGTTTAGTCTTTCATCCGAAATACTTCTTCTCAGACTGAAGATACATTTTTTTTGTTTTGTTTTGTTTTTTGAATGTCCAAAGGACCAGACTTTACTTTTTTTAAGACTAGCTGGGTTTTTTTTGCTACTTTTCCTTTAGATTGTCCTTTTGGTTGCCATTTTATTTTAAATTGTTAAAAAAAAAAATTGTACGCACATTTTATGATTGTCTTGTCTTTGTTGTCCACTGTTGTCATCACTCTTTGTAAAAAAACAAAAAAACAATAATCAGGTCTGAGTCCACGAGGCTCGATGGGATTAACCTGTATAAATAAAGGTTGAATGAATTGTGTGCATGTCAGTTATAATTTTACGTCTTATAATAAATATATTTTTGTGTGTGTCATTTTGTTCGTTATTTTACTTCGAGAAGATCGAGGATTCAGTGGTGTGGACTCGAGTCACATGACTTGGACTCGAGTCAGACTCGAGTCATTATGACTTTTGACTCGAAAAAATGTTCAGAGACTTATGACTTGACTTGGACTTTTACACCTATTACTTGGGACTTGACTTGGCCTTTGACCTGTTTACTTGAAAAGACTTGATGACCCATAATCTAACGTTTAAAAACCACAGTGACGTTAATTTTAGGTTGGATATTTGAGCTCAGCGGATTCTGCAGTGTCCTCCTCTCGTTCGATCCGATGCAGACAGCCTGATGTCGGCCAGCTGAGCTCAGTCTATCTCCTCCTACATGTCTCTGCGTGAGTGCAGCTACAGCGTGCGCTCTCAGGACATTACTACCTGCAGTGTTCCCTCAGTGCGGACTGAACTAGGCAAAAGGGTCTTCTCCTACTCCGCTCCTGTTTCCTGGAATATCTTGCAAAAAGATCTGAAGCTCTCGACCTTGACCTCTCTAAGTGGCTTTAAGAATCTGTTGGCAGGGACCGATGCAGACATGTTCCTGTTTTTAGTTTTCTACATTTGCCTTATAATCTAGCGGTTTTTGTTACTTTTTTTTGCCATCTTATTTGTATAAAAAAAAATCTGTATGCCTTTTTATAACTGTCTATTGTTGTCGCTGTTGTCCTTGTTCTTTTTTGAAATCAGGTATCTATTGTAAATGAGTCCTCAAGGCTCAAAGGGATTAACCTGTCTAAATAAAGGTTGAATGAAAAAAAAATTATATATATATAATTTGTTTTGTTTCTCTTTGTCACTTACACATGGATACACATGTTAACTAAGGGACCAGATGAGAAGCGAGGAAATACATTGACTGTGATCGTTCTTTGTAATGTACTGTGGAAATGTCATCCCTTTTTGTCTGAACTTCGAGCTCTGCTTTTGCATTTTTCATTGAATGTTCTGGAAAATTATAGTTTAAAGGAAGATTATTCTTGCAGCTAAGTTTAATTGAACTGTGCAATATAAAGGTGCAGTTTTAGAACAACTTTATTAACACGGTAAGTTCAGTTGCACATGTTTCATCATGATTTGAGATAAATACAGATTTTAAAAATAACACACGGTCTGTTATTTACATTTAGCATATCATGTCAACTTTGTTTTAAAAAAAATACTCGAAAGGACTTGAAATTTCAAGTTTCTGTCTTGGGACTTAACTTGGCACTTGACTCTTTACTTAAGACTCAGGACTTGGGGATAAATATTGAGACTTACTTGAGACTTGAAAAACAATGACTTGGTCACATCTCTGCGAGGACTTCCTTACGGAGCAAATAGAGCAAATTCTCTCCTTAGTTAATCAGTTTGTGCTCATCGGTTTTTTCCGACGGTACGTGAACGCAACCTAACAACGCGTGAAGCGCGCTCGTGGTGGCCGCGCCCCTGTGTAGTAGGGCGGGTAGAACCCGTTGTTTTGGTAACGTGAAAAAGTTACACAAGCTGCCGGGGAGCACGGTTTCATAAAAGGGCGGTTTCACAACTGTCAGAGAAGCCTGCCGCGTGCGTCCATCGGTTTTACCTGTGAGCAGAGCGCACGAGAAACAAACCAGCCAAGCAGTCCTCAGCTCCAAACCGAGGGGAGAACGTTTAACTGGCTCGGGTTCGTTCGTCAAACTTCGCTGACATCGTGACTGTCCCTTCTTGTTAGGACCGAAGAGCGCCGTGGTCGCCTGCCCGAGAAACGAACATCCACCGTCTCTTCTTCCCGCCTCTCTTGTCTCGCCATGGAGCTCGGTTCGGTGATTTTAACCACCGGGGGCTCCGTGGGGGTTTTCAGGCTCGTGAACGCCGGGGTCGGTATGCTCCCCGTGCCCGAGTCCGCGCGCAGGAATGCGTGGAAATGGAGGAACATCTCCACATCCTTCGTCCACAGTGTCATCACGGCCTTCTGGGCAGTGCTGTGGTGAGTGCAGCAGAGCTTTACACCAAGTGTTGTTGTGAACGATGAACCAAACAAACAGGGATGTTTTTAGCTGCTGTTCAGCTCCTGTCATCAGAACCAGAGGCCATTCCACTGATTCCTGCAATTCCAATATGCTTTTAACATTTGGGTGGCTGAAAACACCCCTGCTGTTGGAGCAGTGTTGCTTCAAAACAAGAGTTCAGTTCTGTTTTTAAAATGTGACCTTCTGTTTTATCTTTTCAGCTTTTTTGTTCAACCACAGATGGCTGAGGATCTGATTGAAACCCACTCTGTGTTTTCTCACGCTTTGGTGTCATTTTCAATCGGTGAGAAGCTTTTTCTTTTTGTTTTTAATTCTCATTTTGGTGTGATTAAATTAGATTTTTGTGACGTGCGAGAGGATTAACTAATCTGCTGACATCCATGGGTTTTTAATTTAGTTTTAATTCAGTTGAATTCAGTTTATAAAGCGCCAAGTCACAACAGAAGTCATCTCAGGGCACTAAACATTGATATACATAAAAAGTATGGGTGCTGGATTATTGAGCATGCATCAGGTTACATAAAAAGTAAGTTAATAACATTAATTATTTGAGGAGCAGACTGCTTTGAGTTCAACTTCACTGCAGATCCTCATCTTGAGCAAGCATGAAGGCGACAGTGGAAAGGAAAAACTCCCTCATGAGGAAGAAACCTTTAGCAGAACCAGACTCAGGACTAGCGGCAATCTGCTTTGACCGGCTGGGTTTGAGAGGAACAGATACACAATGGCAGGTCAAAAATTACATGTTAAGATAGAAATAATATCACATTAAAACTATTCAATTTTAAGAATTTAGGGCGATTTGTCCTCCAGTAGTCTAAGCCTATAGCAGCATAACAAGCCAACCCTAACTATAGGATTTATCAAAAAGGAAAATCTTCAGTCTTAAAACTGGACAATGTGTCAGCCTCACAGACAGAAACTGGAAGTTGGTTTCACAAGAGAGGAGCCTGATAACTGAAAGATCTTCCTCCCATTCTGCCTTTGGAAACTCTAGGACTTGCGAGTAAGCCTGCATTTTGAGAGCAAAATGCTCTGTTAGGAAAATATGGAACAATAAGCTCTGTAATGTAAGATGGAGCTAGGTTGTTGAGAGCTTTGTAGGTTAGAAGTAAAATTTTGAATTCACTTGATAGGGAGCCAGTGGAGAGAAGCTAAAACTGGAGAGATATGATCTCTCCCACTAACTCCAGTTAAGACTCTTGCAGCAGCATTTTGGATCAACTGAAGACGTTTTAAAGAAGTTTTTGGACATCCAGATAATAAACCATTGCAATAGTCCAGTCTAGACGTGACAAATGCATGAACCAGTTTTTCTGCATCTTTTTTAGATAAGATGTTTCTAATTTTAGTGATTTACGCAGATGGAAGAAGGCGGTTCTAGTAACGTTTTTAATGTGGGGGATAAAAGACATGTCCTGATCAAAAATAACACCAAGATTTTTAACATTAGAGCTGGAGGCCAGATTAATGTCTTCTAAGGAGGGTGAAAGACTGAAACATTTATTCCTAAGATGCTCAGTCAGGTCCAAAAACTAAAACCTCATTCTTGTCTGTGTTCGAAAGCAGAAAATTTAGGGTCATCCAGGTTTTATATCTTTAAGACATGCTTGTAGTCTAAGTAACGGTTAGTTAGTTAAGATTTGCTGAACGAGGACAGGCGGTCTCTTTTTTTTCCTCCATGGTGCCAGAAATTTAGTTTAGTACCTGGTGGAGTACTTGTCTTACAACTGGGGTGCTTTTTGGTGCCTTTTGTATAATTTAATCTTTGTGGGTCTGTGTTAAACCGTTTACACTACAAAACTGTTCCTCTGAAAACAGTCAGGAATTGGTTGTGAAGGACTCAAAATGCTGTCAAAGTTCAAATAAAAACTTAATTACATTTTGAAGGCCCAACTAAGTAACATTAGCTCAAGACCCTTTTCTAAAAGGCAGTAAAGTGGAAGATGAATAATACAAAATGACTGATTGCTCAAGATTTTTGCACGTTACTGAGTGTTGACTTGTTGAGGGACAATCATAAATTGAGGAATCTTTCAGAAAAAAATATCTGAACTTTGTGTTGCTGGTAAATGTAAATACCAAACTGTTTGTTTACCATAAAAGCTTTTTTTTGTTGTCAATTTTAGAAACTGTGACGTCAGTGCATAAAGCTAAATCTAATCTATTTTTTATATTGCTTTAAAGTATAGCTTCCTTAAATGATTGGGGTGGCCCAAGATTAATCTACAGTGGCCACCAATGGCCCACCCCTGGCTCTGCCTTTGCACCTGGGAGTGGCTAAAATTGCTTAGGACCTCCTACCTGACCCGGAGAGGGCACTCTACCCTTTTCCGGCTCAAGACCATGGCCTCGGATTTGGAGGAACTGATCCTCATCCCAGCCGCGTCGCACTTGGCTGCAAACCGCTCCAGCGAAAGCTGTAGATCACGACTTGATGAAGCCAATAAGACCACATCGTCTGCAAATAGAAGAGATGCAATCCTAAGGCCACCAAAACGGATCCCCTCAACACCTTGGCTGCACCTAGAAATTCTGTCCATAAAAGTTATGAACAGAATCGGTGACAACGGGCATCCTTGGCGGAGTCCAACTCTCACCGGGAACAAGCCCGACTTACTGCCGGCGATGTGGACCAGGCTCTGACACCGGTCATACAGGGACCTCCAGAGTGGAAGAGTGTCCAGCCCCTCTCAAGAAAACTGGTTCCAGAGCCATGCGTAGAGGTGAGTCCGACTATTTCTAGCCGGAACTTCTCAACCTCGCACACCAGCTCAGGCTCCTTCCCCACCAGTGAGGTGACATTCCACGTCCCAATAGCCAGCTTCTGTAGCTGAGGATCAGACCGCCAGGGTCCCCGCCCTCGGCCACCACCCATCCCACACTGTACCCAACCCCCCAAAATATAGGCTTGTATAAATTAAGATTTGGCTTTATTCCATTATGCTTTCTCAAACCTTGGGGCACATGCTAACTAACGTTCCTAAAATAGCAACTTACCTTGTTTTTTATTTTTTATTTTATTATATTTTTTAACTTTCCCAATAATTTATTTATTCTGAAGTGAGAAGGGACTGTGGAGGATGAAATGTGACAAAATGAAATAAATGAATACACAATAATGAAATGTCATTTGGTTATTGAAAACATAATTCAATCATTAAATAAACAATTAAATTATTAAATACACCATTAAATATACAGTTAAATTATTTATTTCATGATTTATTCAATTATTTAATTTAGTCACATTCCACCCTTGTGTGTCACCATGAAATATGGCATCTCCCTCCATGTTAAGGCGACCAGATTTCTGAAGTTAAATATGGGGCCATTTCCAGCTCATAGACCAAAAAAAAATAAAAATTAAATGTTATCAAGATGAAATTAAGAAACGGGGACAGTTCCAGTTTCATATTTTTTTTTTACATATTCATTCATGTTTAAACAATAAAAATCAAATGTAGCAGCAGAAATGTATCTCTTCACACTGTTGTTAACATTTCGTGAGTAATAAAATTAATAAGTGGTCAATTTGTCTTGGCTTACTGTGAGGAGCAGCCAATCAGGCGTCAGGGTTAGGGTTAGTCCCGCCCACTGAGTTTGACAAGTGACGCTGACAGCTAACATAATTTCATGGTGATTACTGGAGGGCGGAAGGTGACAAAATTAAATAAATAAATCATGAAATAATAATTTAAAAAGTACATTTAATTATTTAATGGTGTACTTCATAATTTAATTGTATATTTATTGATTTAATTATGTATTTAATAATTAAATGATACATTTAATTATGTATGTATTTATTTCATTTTGTCACATTCCGTCCTCCATACAGAGGAGCACTGCAGTGTGGATGGACTCTTGCTCTGTTGCAGCCAGTGGGCAGCTGGCGTTAATGAAATGATTTTTTGCACAGTTGCATTAGTCTTGGTGATGTCACATGAGTGTAAGGAGTAATGCCTGGTGCCTGGGACTAGCTACAAAGCCCTTCATTGAGCTTCACATCCCTAATGCTGCTCCTCGCCTTTCCAGCTTTCAGGGCCAGACGTCCCAAAAGAATGTCAAACATCCTGGGAATCCTCTGCGAGCCGTTTTTCGCCCAACATAATTCCTCCAAACAAATAGATTTAACTGGGTTCACACCCATCCACACTGCAATGCTCTTCTGGAACCCTCCCACCAGAATTGTGCCATCATTTGGATTGTTCGTACCACTCCCATAAATTATTCTCCAGTTGCTGAATGGAGACGTTGTTTAATGTCACTTCATAACTTGGGCAGATGTTTGACAGTATAGACTGTTAACATCTGTTCTTGTGTATGTTTGTGTCAGTTTGTAGTCATATGTGTCTTTAGAGCAGAATGGAAAAGTGAGTTACGTGTGATAAATGACAAGCTGATAAGGATGCTAAGTACTACTGCATGTGAAGATATTTTGAAAATGGTAAAATAAGGACCTTTTGATGCTTAACATGTCAGTTTTATGTAAAAATGAAATACAATAAAGGTCTAACATTCCTTGAAGCAATGTATGCACATACGCCAGCAAAAACAGGATCACCCTTTTGTTTTCAGTGGCAGGTGCTTAAAGTCCACATTCACAGGACGAGACGTAAAATAATAATTTGGCCGCTTTGAATTGGGTTTCTGTGAAAAAGATGCACATTTATTTTGTACCCATTGCGGAAATGTTCTTGAACGTCTTTAGTTTGTAGAAATAATTTGTCCAACAGAACCAGTCAACTAAAGGCTAGTCCAAATGTACCTACGACCTAAGTGCCATTTCAAATGGCTTCCATCTCCAAACGTTCATAGTGGTTCATGGGAACTTTATTTTATAACATTTTACATTGCTGTCAGTTTCACATTAGATCGTTACATTGCATTAAATTTCACATGACATGGTTAATTGAGAAAGAATATTGGGAATGATTCTGGCAGAACCCTGTCTTATACAATTCCCTGTAAATAACTAATGTGTGTTTAAAGGTTCATAAAGTTTCTTTTGCATAAACCAACAAGAATTTTATTTTATTTTTTTAGATTGGAGCTATTTTAAGATGGCAGCAGTCCACTTTGGTCTTTGAAGCATTCCAAGTTGCTGCTTTCATCAAACCTGTTGGATGTAAACTCAGTTTTTGAGATTAAGTTCAAGTAGGTTTATTGTCATTTCACCACATGTGGTACATGAGGTGGAATGAAATTATGTACACAGGGTCCCATTTACATCCAACAATAGCAAAAATATAAAGTGTAAAAAAAACCTGTAAGAATCTAAGATATACGCTAAATAAACACCAAACGGTACGCTAAAAGCTCTAAGATGTACACTGGTCACTACTAATGTCAAACAGTATGGCGTAACAACAGCAGCTCGAACATGAGTTACTCTGAGCAGATGGGTATGAATGAATGAATACAGCGACATGAAATAATCAGCAGCACGTCACAAATTAAAGTGGCATTACAGTGATTTTTCTGGTTAGGGATTTATGACTCGGCTTCAGGGTAGAAGCTGTTCCTCAGTCTAGTGGTTCTACACTTAATGCTCTGCAACCTCCTTCCTGAGGGGAGCGGGGCAATGTGTGTGTGCTGGGTGAGTGGGGTCCTTCATGATGCAGGTGGCCCTCTTCCTGCATCTAGAGGTGTAGACATCTGTGATGGTGGGGAGGCTGACTCCAACGGACATCTGTGCAGCCTTCACCACTCTCTGCAGAGCTTTTCTTTCTGCAGCTGTGCAGCCTCCATGCCTTCAGTTTTTCCCCAAACTGAGATTCTTGTCCCCTGTCGTGGAGCAACAAGGCAGAATTGGGAGTTTCGCTGTCCGTGCATATCGTGAGCAGAATAACTTGAAAAATAATTTGTGTACAGTCTTCTATTTTGGTGTGTGGCTGCATCTAGGTGTAGGAAAGGTTCCTTCAAAAATCGGGATGCCAGGTCAAAATCCAAGATGGCCACCACCACATGTGTGACCGGCCACCCCATCATTTGAGGAAACGATACTTTCTAGTTTTTATATTGCTTAAGAGTATAGTTTCCTCAAATGATTGTGGTGACTGAAGATTAATCTATGGAGGCAAAGGCCACCATGAGCCACCCCCTGGCTTCTCCATTGCACCTGATGGTGGAAAAAATAGTTTCCTTTGCTCACCAGTATCCGTCACTACACCACGTCAGACAAGAAAGCAACGACCTCTGTTCTTATACTTATCGTAACTCATGCCCACTTGAATATTTTGCATCAAAAACATTAAGGTTTACTTGCATGAAACAAACAAAAATCAAGTTTGCAACATTTTTTTGGGCCTATTTTCATGCTTCAGTTGGAAGCCATTAAAAGTTGAACATGTCTGATTCCTGTTTTCAGTGTGAACATGGGTTTTACAGAGCCTTTACGTTGGCATCATTCTCACACCACACAAAAAGAAAAGCCCATCATTTAAAAACAAGATGCGTTTGTGTTTCTTACCGTGTCAGCGTTCATCACTTGAATTAATGTGGGTCAGACAATACTTAAAAAAGTTTTACTTATTCCGCCTCCCCTGAGCCCAGTCTCTCTCGTAGCTCGCTGTCCCTCATCCTCACCCCTCCATCATTTTTTTCAGTGTTCTTAAATGTTGTTGTCATGGATACAGCTGGTGGTGGAAATGAATAGCCCCACACTAAGAAGCATAGTGGTTGCTTTCGCCGTCGTCATGGAGACAAAGCCCCCCACCGATGCACTTGATTAGCTCAAGGCGGTCCTTTGTCAAAATAATCTGTTGCATTTTGGGGTTAACGGATGAAGTGCTGAAGCAAAGTGATGGCATTAACAGATGTTTTTTGTCTCCTCAGGTTACTTCATCTATGACTTCTTTGACATGGTGTTCAACCAGAAGCTCAGTCAGTCCTGGGAGCTGCTCTTCCATCACACTGTGGTAGGTCTCTCAGGCAGTGCTGATGCACAGAAAAATAAGCTTTGATTGAAGAAGCACCAACAAGGTGTCAGACTGGTATTGTCTGCTTAATGGCACAAATCCATAAACACTGAAGCACCTTTATTACTGTCTGGTTCACTTTTCCTTCCTGCGCCTCAGCTTTGAAATAATACACACAATTTATACACCAAAACATACAGCTCCATTGGGAATAGCATACCATGACTTTGAGTTACAGTATGTTGCACAATGCCAATAAAATTAGCTAAAAACTGCAAGAAAATTAATACGGAGCTCAATGGGAATTTGGCAAACTCAGACATTTTTGGAGCGTAGTAGCTCTGACAAACTCAGCAGAAACATTGTTTATAATATGATGTAAATATACAAGTTTAAATATGTCATGTCTAATTTTCTAATAATCTAATTTCTTATTTTCTAATATGTCATTGAGTCCAAATATGTGGACAGACACAAAGATACGTTTTATAGTTTTAACAGAAAAACAGTTTAGATTTATTTATTTACTGATTTTTCCACAGAATGTTCAAATGATAGTTGACACCAAGTTTTGAGCAGTTTGACGTTTTGAAATATTTTGCAAGCACTGTTTATTTCCACAATTATTTTGTTACATGTACAAATTATACATCAAAACGTGGACATTTTTGTCTTCTTTAACCCATTGTGTCTCTCATTGCTATAGGAGTTTTCCTTTCAAATCCCTCCAGAATATTGGTGGAAAAACACAAGCTCCCATAAACTTGTTATATTATAGTTCAGAATGTTAGTTTCAAAAATGAAAGTGATTTTTAATTTTTTTTTGTATCTCCTGCATGAATCATAAAAAAATGAATAAATATATAAATTTTTATATATTTTTGAAATATATAAAATAATAAATAATAATAGTAATATTTTTGAAATCCTGTTTTCGTGGGTTTCATGAGCTGGAAGCCTAAATTATGTAAAAATAAACAAAAATGCTTGAAATTGTTTAAACTTGTTGACCCTAAATCTATCATCGATTCAAAGATTAACTTTTTGAATGGAATTATGGAAGTTAAACAACTTTTCCATGATATTCAATTTTTTTAGAAAGCGTCTTTATATATAGATCATTTGAGGAAACGATGCTTTCTAGTTTTTATTTTGCTTCCTACCTAATATACAAACTATAAAATAGTGAACTTGTCAGATGTGTGAACTTACAAAAAATATACTTTTCTTTCTTGTCAAGTTACAAAGACTAAATAATGGAGGTACAAAAGGGCTCACACACTCTGAAAGCACCAACTAAACTCCACCTGGCTTCATCAGTTTCACTTTATTACCTCAACCTCCTGACAGTTACCATCATGTTCCACTAAACTTCAGTGGTCTTGACCCACAGCATGCTGCTGTTCTGACACATGTGTTCCTGGTGGAAGAGTTGGCTCAGGTATATACTATTTCAGTAAATAACCTGAGGTGGTGACAGAGCCCCACATACTGAGCAAATACTTTTGTCTTCCCACTTCTGCCTCCATGACTAACATCCAACACGGTGTTGATGTTGTGTATCACTTTGTTTTCAGGCTCTCTCACCTTGCAAACATGGTTTATTTAAGGGATTGAAGTGGATTAGTGTTGCAGACATGATTTCTGCTTGGGTTTATGTCTCAGAGCATTGTTTATTATTTTTTAAAATATAGTATGTGGAAGTATTTCATTGTGAAATGTAAAAATTGGTGGTATAAAAGCTTTTTTGGCATGAAAATAAAAGCTTCTTGCAGTTGTTTCCGTTGCACAATAAAATCTGCTAATTTGACCTTTATCAATACTTATGATGCTAAGATACTCTTGCAACAAAAATGAGAAACAACAAGTGTGTGTGTGTGTGCGTGCGTGCGTGCGTGCGTGCGTGCGTGCGTGCGTGCGCATAATGTTCCTGGTTTCACCCGCAGCAGTGGACTTCTGTGTTTCGCTTGAAAAAATTCTGACTTCCTTGTTGGATTAAAAACTTCTTTGAGGAGGAGCTGGTTTTACCTCCGTCCATCCATCATCTTTACCTGCTTCCTTTTCGGGTCGCAGAGGTCACTGGTGCCCATATCCATCAGTCACTGTGAGAGAGGTGGGGGACACCCTGGAGACGTCACAAGTCCATCACAGTGACACATAGAGACCAACAAATATTCAAATTCTCACTCACACCTAGGGACAATTTAGAGTCACCAATCAGTCTAACATGCATGTTTATGGTCAGTGGGAGGAAACCAGTACCCAAGGAAAACCCTCGCATGCACCAAGAGAACATGCAAACTCCTCCCAGAAGGATCCCTGACCAGGATTTGAACTGGTGGCCTGCTCGCTGAGAAGCAGCAGCTCTACCAACTGTGCCACCATACTGCCCTGGTTTTACCTCTTTTGACAAATAATTTTTTTATTATATTTTATTTCAGTCTTTTTATGTGCATTATGATCTGACTTTGCACACGTTTAGACCTTTGAAACATGCTCTCAGATGTGGTTGTAATTCAGACAAATTAAAGTGACTGACTGGAAAAAATACGTTCATAAAAAAAAAAACTGTGTTCCAGTGCTGGAAAATATTAATATTTCCAGTTCCGGGAATCATGCTGGTGTAGATTTTTAGTCATCCATGTCTAACAGAGTTAACAGTAGTAGATGAGTTGTTTTTCTCAGAAGTTCAGCCTTTTCTCCGTCTCATCTGGAGAGTTCAGTGAGTGGATGTTTGGGTCATACCAGCAGGCTTCAAATTGTGATTCGAGCGTGGCACAGATGGAGGTTTGCCTCATTTGTCGAGCTCTCTGCTTCTTGAGGAACTCGCTCTCTTTGCCTTCTTTGTTGCCTTTTTGCACAGATTCTCATTCATTCTTTCTCCTGAACCTCTCTGCTTGATTTTAAATGTCAACGTATCTGGTGCAAACTTTATATTAACCCTTTTTATGACTGATTTCTTGTCATGTCATTTTTTTTTTGTTTTCTGTCCGCACACAGATTATGTCACGTCCAAGGTCATACAGTCATGAGCAGAAGATTGCTCTGTAATTTATAGATTGCTCTGTAATTTATCTCCAGCTCTAGTTTTCATCCCACTTTATTGCTTTGCTAATTGTACTCTGTCTGGACTATGATATATGAATGTAAATGAAGGAACTGGAGTGGGAGAGGCTGTTCTGTGTGATTGAAAACAGCAAGATAGATGAGATATTATACAATGGAAGTCTGTGTGAAAAACTCAGAAGTCAGTGTCTTACCTGCAGTAGACTGTGGTCAGAACAATTTCAGTCTGGAGAATAAATGTTGTTTTTTTCCTGGTGAAGTGAAGGTAACAGTGTCAGGGGAAAACAAAGGAGATTTCCTAACAGATCAATGTGTAGTTCATCAGATTTATCTACAAAGCTTTGGAGAGCACTCCAGCATTCACAGAACATTAATGCACTTACAAGATCACACTCTTATCAGTGCTCTCATCTGTCTGAAACGCTGACCTGCTCTAACTGCAGACTAAATAATCATAAACGGGCATGTTGGCTTTGTTTGTTAGCATCAAGGTGTGTCTGCGACAAGAGAGTATCAACTTCTGAAGCGGTGTCCTATTTTGTTGAAAAATATTTCAGCCACTACTTTGAGATTTTAAACCAAGACGGGGTAGTCGTAATGATGTGGTTGACACCAAGGGGTGATTCAGCCCTTCTTCAATCTGCAGTGAGGGTTTGGTTCGTCTTACAAGCAAATCATGGAGCAGCATGTGGTCGGAGACCGGATTTGCTGACTTCTGTTGTTTCAGTCCAGGAGAAATGCTGTCAAATGTTCCATGAAGAAAGTTTTTTATTTTTCCTTCTCGTTGACTGAAGTTGGGATTACAGCCTCACACTTCTGTCTGAGGTAAACGTGGGTCCTGTCGGAGTCACCTAACATGTGGTTAACATTCTGCTTTAGAAAACAGGAAGTTGTAAAAGCTCTGACAGAAATAATTTAGACCAATGCATAGTCCAAGAAGGCTTATAAAAAGTAATGACAAAATGGTCAGCAGGGTTATAAAGTAATAGTTTTAAGTAAACATTAAAATAAAATTATTTTACTGTTCTTATTTTTTATTGCTTTGTATTTTCTTCAGTAAAAACAACTTGGAACATGTTTTAGTTTCCATTACCAACAAGTCTTGGCGCTAGTTATCTGGTAATTAAACGTGAGAAGATTGATGCCAAACAGTTGATAGTCTTTTTTCCAAGGAGGAGGTAATCATGTGGATAAGAGCAGCTATATTTAATTATTTTTTTAACCTGAAGAAATGCCACAAATTGAGTTTCTCTTCTCTCTTTTTGCTGTTTAGCATGCAAAGATTGGAAAGTTTCTCAGATATTTTCTTTTATGAATGTCTCAGTCCTCTTTCATTAGTTGTAATTCAGTTATTGTAGCACACATGAGCCAAATCAGGAGCTTGTCTTCATCAAGTCTGAGCACCGTGGGTCCACTGGGTCACCTCCGGTCTATCTTCATGTCTGCCTTCAAGCTAAAGCGGCTTCAATCTGGACTGCAGTGCACTGATGAAGATTCGGTCAGAAACATCATAATTTAATTTTAGTACTTCTACAGATGCACACTCAAATCAAACATAAAAAAAGGATTTTGAAACGTATTGGGATGCAAATGGATTCCCAGCATCCCTCTGCTCTTTCTACAGTTTAGCATGAATTACTTATTATAATAAACTTTGATGCAAAACTTCACAAAACCTTCTGTTCTGTCGGTGTTTTCTGAATCTCTTTAGCGCAACTTGTTCAGTTACTAAAAAAGCTTTGGCTACAAAACCCACCACCATAAATTATTTGGATGTTTGTTTTTTTTGTCTTGAGCTCCTTCCGTTGCTCGATGATACAGTAATTTAATAGAAAAAAAACGTCAGTCCTAGCAGCAATCAGTGATGCAACAACGTGCTTGTGTTTGCATGCTTGTAACCTAGAAACCCTCCTAGCCTTGTTTTTACATTGACC